TGCACCAATAAATGAAATACAAATCGACCTAATGATTAACATATGCATAATAAATTGATTAAAATGCAAAAGGAGGAACTGTATTTTAAGAAAAGTCAATAGCAATAAATTTTTTTTAACAAATGAAAATTAATTACCCGTGCAATAAATCCAATAGTGATGACTGTAATCAATCTCTAGGTTAGTGTTGTTATCCTGGCATCACAATGGTAGCACAGTCTAAAAATTACAAAAACAAATTAAAATTTAATACAGCCATTACCATAATATATTATATAATCTACAATATTTTTATTGTAATTGCTGTGAAAAAATAATAGTAATAAAAAATGTATATACATTTTATAGACTGATGTAGTACATATTGCACACCAATAAATGAAATACAAATCAAACTAATGATTAATATAATATATATAAATTGAATAAAATGTAAAAAGATGAACTCTATTTTAAAAAAAGTCAATAGAAATAAATTTCTTTTAACAAATGAAAATGAATTACCGGTGCAATAAATCCAATAACGATGACTGCCATGAATCTCTAGCTCAGTCATTATCCTGGAACCACAATGGGGTAGCACAGTCTAAAAATTACAAAAACAAATTAAAATTTAATACAGCCGTTACCATAATATATTATATAATCTACAATATTTTTATTATAATTGCTGTGAAAAAATAATAGTAATAAAAAATGTATATATAGATTGTATTGTATAGACTGATGTAGTAGTACATATTGCACCAATAAATGATATATAAAGCAAACTAATGATTAAAATGTATAAAGATGAAGTCTATTTTGAAAAAAGTCAATAGGAATAAATTTTTTTTAACAAATGAAAATTAATTACCTTTGCAATAAATTCAATAGCGATGACTGCCATCAATCTCTAGCTTAGTTATAGTGGCACAACAGATACCGTCTAAAAATTACAAAAACAAATTAAATTAATATAGCCATTACCATAATATAATAATAATAATAATATTTCTACAATATAATTATTGCAATTGTTATGAAATTGTCAATAACACGTTAGAATAAGAAAAAAAATCAAAAAGAGTATGACAAATATATAAATGTAGTACTTGCAAACAAAAATTTAAAAAAAAAATGTATATATATACATATGGAGAGAGAGAGATATATAGAGGGGAAGAGATTATATAGACCGATGTAGCACGAATTGCACCAATGAATGAAATACAAATCGACCTAATGATTAACATATGCTAAATGAATTGATTAAAATGCAAAAGGATGAACTCTATTTTAAAAAAAGTCAATAGAACTAAATTTCTTTTAACAAATGAAAATGAATTACCGGTGCAATAAATCCAATAACGATGACTGCCATGAATCTCTAGCTCAGTCATTATCCTGGAACCACAATGGGGTAGCACAGTCTAAAAATTACAAAAACAAATTAAAATTTAATACAGCCATTACCATAATATATTATATAATCTACAATATTTTTATTATAATTGCTGTGAAAAAATAATAGTAATAAAAAATGTATATACATTTTATGGACTGATGTAGTACATATTGCAACAATAAATGAAATACAAATCGACCTAATGATTAACGTATGCTAAAGAAATGGATTAAAATGCAAAAGGATGAACTCTATTTTAATTAAAGTCAATAGCAATAAATTTTTTTTAACAAATGAAAATTAATTACCTTGCAATAAATTCAATAGCGATGACTGCCGTCATCAATCTCTAGCTTACTCGTTATCGTGGCACCACGGATACCGTCTAAAAATTACAAAATCAAATTAATTTATCAGTGCCATTACCAATATATATATATTTAAAAACTATATTAATTAACGACCGACTAATATTGTATAAAAAAATATTTACCAGCGCAATAAATCCAGTTATCCGTTAGAACCAATAGGCCGAGCCGTTATGGAAACATTGCTCGGGATACAACAACAAACGCCGTCTAAAAACTATGAAATCGAATCGATTATAATTATATGACTTACCAAACGGTTGTGAAAACGTCAAACGCACAGTTTTTTTGTTTTTTTTAAGGAATAAAGAGTCGTTACCCGTGTTAATAAATTCGTTTGTGAGATGGTTAGAGCCAGCAGCACTCGCCTTATCGAAGCAGTGCTCCGGGCACACGACAAACGCCATCTAAAAATTACAAAATCAAATCAAGTCACACAATATCGACAATTGATAAACTGCGTTAATCGCACGAGTTTCGATTAATATGTACATATATAAAACGGCAATAGCGGTAAAAGTAGAAGTAATTTACAAAATCACATTAATAAAGGAATACGGTCAATACGCAATATTGAAATAACGACGACGCACAAAACGGCGGCGCGGTGATAACGACCACGCGTTCGGCGTCGGACGCGGCGATAACGACGAAAAGGCGGGAACGCGTGGGGCCTAGTGGGAGACGCGCTCCCCTATTTCGCGTCGTTTTCCGTTCCAGGAAATAGCGTTTTTCGCGAATTTAAGAAAACGGAAAAGGCGAAAAATTCGAAGGAAGTTAGGAAAAGACGCGGGATCGTAAGAGCCGTCGAACGATATCGAAGAAGCGGAAAGAAAAGTGAAATGCGAATTTTAATGCGGAAAAAACGCAATATTTCTTCCAGGTGGACCTTATTTTGAGGGGCTTACGATTTTAGTATATAGAGCGAGATAGCGTTTTTCGCGAATTTAAGAAAACGGAAAAGGCGAAAAATTCGAAGGAAGTTAGGAAAAGACGCGGGATCGTAAGAGCCGTCGAACGATATCGAAGAAGCGGAAAGAAAAGTGAAATGCGAATTTTAATGCGGAAAAAACGCAATATTTCTTCCAGGTGGACCTTATTTTGAGGGGCTTACGATTTTAGTATATAGAGCGAGATAGCGTTTTTCGCGAATTTAAGAAAACGGAAAAGGCGAAAAATTCGAAGGAAGTTAGGAAAAGACGCGGGATCGTAAGAGCCGTCGAACGATATCGAAGAAGCGGAAAGAAAAGTGAAATGCGAATTTTAATGCGGAAAAAACGCAATATTTCTTCCAGGTGGACCTTATTTTGAGGGGCTTACGATTTTAGTATATAGAGCGAGACTAGCGATGGGAAATATCGAATAGTAACTAACGAAATATTCGACAGTTGTCCACTATTCAAACTATTCGATTGTCATTAAAAAAATAGTCGATTGTTACGCAATATATTCGAATAGTTTTTAAAACTATTCGATAGTTTATGCTAAAAATAGACTATTCGGTTGTATAAAAACAATTCGTAAATGCCCATCACTAGTTATTACGGTAAAAATGAATATATCGAATTAATTCTTCTTAGTTTGAAGTCACTTATTATTCATGTTAATAAAAATTTGATAATTTATGATTGGAAGAAATAATTTTTTTAACCGTAATATATAATTATCAAGACATTTAAATTAAAAATATGAATTAGTAAATAATATTTACTAAAATATGATAAAAATTAATTTTTTTCATAAAGTGAATCATTTAAGTTTTATTCTATTTTCTATAATCGTTAAGGGCTCATGAGTAATACTCTAGTCTGTCATGATTAGTGGCATACTGTTTTTTTTTTAATTACATTTTTATGATAGCGATATATTTTATAGAAGGGACTCGTTTTAAGGTACCATTTCGGAGTCCGTATAAGAGGTTAATACGGTCCCGGTCATGCTATTTTCGATAATCAATTGATATCTATTATTTATTATATGAAATTTGTATATGATGATGGTATTTTTCTCACAGTAAATTAAACTTAGGTGGTAAGTTAAACCGAATTAGCAGTCTCGTGAAAAGGTGTAGATCATAAAGTTATCTCATTAAAAGATAGAATCCAATTCATNGTTATCTCATTAAAAGATAAAATCCAATTCATATAGTACTATTTACGCTGCATATAAAAGTAAAAAGAACTAGTTGGTTACTGAAGTCGTTATCAAGTGTTTATTGATATATTATAACACGCTAGGGATTTTTTAATGTCCTCGGGGCCAGTGTACATAATATTAGACGATGATTTTATAGTTATTTTATTCCAATGACGATTTTAATTTTATTTATTAGGTGTTTGTTTTTTACGGTTGTCGAGGCAAATCGCATACGTAGTGTAAATAATGGCTCAATATAACCTAAGGGTGGATGTGCTAGACATGGTGTGTTTCTACAATATGGTTTTTATAATTTACGTGTTGGTTTGTTCTTATTTCGAGTATTTCTTCTTCAATTAGGATTTCTAAAACAAACAATAAATGAACGCTCGAGGGAAAAAATAAAAACACAGTTCCATAGCGTTTTCTGATCAATTATCTTCAATCGTAAATATATTCAATCCATCGATTTATCTATCCGTTCGAATTTGTTATCGTTATACGCTTACGAGATTGTTTTGTTCTTCCGGTTTCACGGGGAAACGCCATCTATAACCTCCCACACCCACGTGTCAACTGTTATTTATTAATAGAAACATTTCGACTGTTGATTTGAAGACAACGAATAAAACAATTTGAATGTTATTTCAATTTTACAGTATTTTAAGAATAATAAATAGGTACTTAAAATTATTTATTTGTGAATAACATCCATAGTTGTGTTAAAAGCAATGTTTTTTTTTTATGAATAAGGAAATATTCAAACGGCTGATAATAATATAATATTACCTTTTTGAAAATAATTTTGAAATTATAGACAATTTTTGTATAACATAAATAAAATATATTTAAAAAATATTAAATTCAAATGGAATTGGAATGTTAACCATTATTGGTTATAGACAAAATATCTTTATCAAGTTTTGATATAGATGGTAACTGACTTATTAAAAAATCACAGTAATAAAAAAAAGTAAAATATAATAAATAAATAAATAAAATAAAATGTATAAAAATAATGGCAATATATAAAAAAATTTCGTTTGTTAATATGTAAATAAACGAGTCTGTCTATTGTGTAATGAGGAAAATATTTCGAAACTGGTTGTTACCAAAAAATGTTAACAAACTTAATCCATTTTAATTTAATCATAATTTCCACAAGTCTGTAAAGTTTATGAGCCTTGAAAATCAGTAGATTTTAAAATGGCAATGTCAGAAATTGTTTTGATTTTGCCTGGAATTTTTAAAAATGTATTTAACTATATTTTATTTATATAGTATAGAAGTCAACCTGAATGAATAGATTAAATATTTTAATTAGCTTTAAACACAATATATACCATAATTTGCCGTAGTTTATTCACTAATTCAAAACAAAACCGGTTAAATGAATTTTAGCTTCGATGCGAAGCTGAAAATATATTAAGTTTACCATGATGTGTTAATTTTTTTTTTGTGTCTGTCACTACTTTTTCTCAGTTTTCACTGGACCGAATTTTCTCAATGATACGTTTAAAGATTACTAAACGTATCTAGTTGAAGACATTACCCTCAAGAATTGAACATTTTCCCCTCATTCCACGTAAATGGGTATTTTATTTTTTTTAAACATCCTAATGAAGTTCATAAATTTTAATTTACGAAAAATCTTACTTTTTATATATCAATGAATCTAAGATGGTTTATAAAATTCATATTTTTCACAGCATAAGTAATGCTGAATATTCACAAATAGTTGTTTTTACATTGTACGTGTTATGCGTAAATAATCTTGTAAGTATAAAGGGTTATTTGTGGTTCGTTTTTATTGCGACTTATATGTTTCATGTCATATACTGAAACAAATTACGTACAAAATTACCATAATGAATATAAAATATATCGACTGTTATAGACATGGCAATAGCAGTGTCAAAAGTACATCAAATAAACTTATATGATGTGGTTCTTCGATAGATGTTGTTAAGTCATATAAAATAATCATTCTATTTGAACATATGTTTAGCTGAAACAATACAAAAATGAACCTTTAATCATGAGCATAATGAAGTCATCAGAAAGTGTTTATGATTAGATGGAGAACTATAATTAATAACATCGCTAATTTAGAGGGATTTTTAAGTATATTTTTGCAACTTTTGTTATCTTATAAAAGCTATGAGTTGCGATTTTATTAAAAAGTACACTGACAAAATATCGATAGAAGATAAGATTCATAAATAAAAATAACAATATAACAGTTAAAGCATAACGTCTTATGGTTTTTTATAATATTTTTGACTAAGTATACTGTGAATTTTATTGCGTACTCACTTAAGGCTTAAAAATTCCATAGGCTCATGTTTGAGTGATGAGGTACAAGATTGCCTAAATATTGTTAATAGAAAAATTAGTCTCGAAAACTTACCAACTGTAAAATAAAATACAATGGCCCCACATGTATATTTTTTAATTTTATCGTTATTTTTATTAATTGAAATGTATTTAATCCGTGGTACCAAAATAGTCAATTTTAATAATTAATGAAAACGTTTAGGTACATTAATGTTGTATTTACTGAGACACGTCGATTGTACTTGTGATGGTACATTTTTATTCTTCGTTGAAACAATATTTATTGAAATCTTCAGTTTTTTTTACAAGCTTTGTGGTGTTAAGTGTCAAATACGATGTTATGTTTATATTATTCTGTAACCTGCACTTGGGCAAAGAAAGCACTTGTTTTGGGAATTGTGAGGCGGTCGTTATGTCCAGGATACATCCTCTCTCATCCTCCGCCAGTCAGGTCGAGACCCAATAGTTGAGCGTTTTTAGTCATACAGAACGTTTTGTATATCCTTGAATTTATGTCTATAGCATTGTAAAGCTTTATTATGTACAATATCGGAAATCCATGTTACTTTTTATTTTCACGTAATGTGTACATCCTCGGTACTTAAAGGTATTTTATTATTTCATGGAGGTGCCCGGCATGCAATACATAAGAGAATAAATTGTCTTTTCCCCTCTTTGGCCGAACACGAAACGTCAAGTGAACCAGATAACGCTATTAGGACGATATATACGCGCGCGCTCGCGTCGGCTAATTAGTTAGGTCGGAGCTTGTCGTGTTTCCCATTCGCCGCTGCGATAGGTGACATTCATACGAGCGACCGGTTTTCGGTCGTCGCCGTTAATCACGTGTAGTTCCCGTAAAGCACACACAATCAATAGAGTAGGATAGAAAAAAGGGTTTAAGTACTTTGACACGCGCTGAAGGACAAGAATACAATTCTTAATTTTATTTTTGCACCGTCGTCGGCTACGTGCATTCAGCAACTATAGATAAGAATAGAAATGACAATGAATGGGACAATTGCAAGTAGTTAGTTTTGGAATACAGTTAATCAAAACGTTGAATAAGATGTATTTTTCAAAATGTTTATTTAACAGTATTGTAGAGGAGTCGGTTGGTTTAGTTGATGATTTTGAAACTACTCGACAGTGCTTATAGAATCATGTAATAAACATTTATGCTTGCCGTTATTTTCAGCTTAAAAGTACATTTATATATTTTTTAGTTTAACTGTATATGTGGATGGTTTATTCGAAAATAGAATGAATCGTTTTTATTTCTTATAAAAAGTATGGAGTTTATTGCTTTATGTTAATAAAAATATGTTTATTTTTTTAATATAAAGAAACTTACTGTAGCAAAATTATATAAAAAGCGAAGTCTATTATGTGTCTAGTAGCAGCCAGACAGTATTAATAGTTTTCTAAGAATACATTTTATGTATCTTGTTTGTTAATGATATTAAGTCGAACAGTGTGATTATTTAGACGTTAAATTCGTTAAAAAACCTATTATTGTAATATTATGACAAGGGTCTATAGATTCAACTGTGAAGTCCACTGGAGTTGTTGTCAGTGCTGTTTATTGCTGTTGTTCTATGCACCATATATTTTCAATTATCAATAAAAAGCGTTATTTGTAATTTAACTTAATTTTATCATCCCATAAAACCAGTCGAGAAAAAAATTGTGACACGGGTAACCACTTTGTATCTGACCAACAAAATATTATTGTCCCAGTGTTGATAAAGTACACATTTTAATAATACCTGTTGCAAAAAATACATATTTCTTCATTCAGATAGTCTCTGCGGGTGACTGTGAGTTCTTCAATACCATTTCTCACGTTGACTATTAAAAATAATGATTCATTTTAACAATTCGTAAAATAAACATTTATGTTTGTTTTGCAAATTGTTTTACCTTATAATAATATAATTACAATATAGATTGTTTTGAGATACAAAGTTTGAATTGGTATGTTAATAGTAATTTATTTTTTAAATTCATATGTCTTAGATGCCGAATGATAAAGATAAAAAGTAATAAATAATTAATAGCTTAATTTAAAAAAAAACGTGTATTTTCATTGTTACCCGTCAGTAATTGTATGTTATTTTTTTAAATTGTATAAATAAAATACACATGGGCTATCACAAAACAAAAATTAAGGAAAGTAAAATTTTATACTATTAGTAATCTAAAAGTGACATGAATTTTTTAAAGTTTAAAATTATTAGATTCTCTTAAGTTAAACATGATAAAAGTAAATTTATTGACTGAGTTTCCAAAGTAATATAACACACAAGTAAATAAATGTATTGTATATTTGTAAATTGTAAATTTATTAAATCGATATTGTTTTTATTTGAAATGGCTTGAAATTCGATGAAAACTGTTTGTTTTTAGTCAAATTTTTTTATTTGAAAATCATTTTAATTAAAAATTACTCGTTACATTCATGATGAATGAATAATGAAGCTAGTTAAAAATGAAAATTCCAGACGTGTAGAATGGGAATCTAAATGTATTAACGATTATAAATTTTATAGATCACATAAAAATGAATTTGATTCAAAAAATAATAAAGGGATTACACCTGCTGTCAAAAAGTATGTTCCCCAAAAAGAAAAACATAATTTGAAAAAGTCAGAAAGAGTACACAAAATAATTAAAGGCTTTGAAATTAGCAAAGGAAAATCCATAAGGGGAAATATTGCTTCCGACAAAGAAAAAATACAACTTCCTAATAAGTTTTNTTCCGACAAAGAAAAAAGACAACTTCCTAATAAGTTTTCCGAGCAAAATAATGTTAAAAACAGCAAAACAGACAATATGAAAAAACAATCTTCTCGGATGTTTTTTAATAGACATTTTTCAAAGTATACATCTAAGCTTCGTGGAAAATTAAGTAGAAATTTTAAATCTTCGTTTAAAAGTACCGGGAAATATGATGAGAGCTCAACTAAGTATAAATCTTACGTCGAAAAAGGTAAAAATAAAAAGGATAAGAATAAGACTTGTTTGAAATATTCTTTGTGTAGTATTGGCTTTAAAGACGAAGTTAAGAAAAAAAAACGAACAGTTAAATGTAAGGATTTGCCTGGTCCAGGTACTTACAACCATAGATTTGTATATGACGAGGCATCTCGTTTGCGAAAAGAAGGAAAAGATGTCGACGTATTGTATAAAGTTAAGACTAAAAATGAATCAACGTATGTGATCAACGGTGAGTTTAAGTGGAAAAAAAAATTGACACCAAATGAGATTAGGCAACTTCGAAAAAAGTATAGTGGTGCAAGTTGTACAACAAAACGTTCTAAGGCAAAAAAATCACAAAAAAAGAACAATAAGGCTAATGATGTTATGACTAAACGCGTTGGTCAGTACCAACTAGTAAATGAAGAAGATGCATTGCTCATGGAAAAATTGCATAAACAACAAAAATTAGACGAAGAAAAGAAAAGGAGAATGGATAAAATAAACAAAATCGAAAGAATGAGACAAGAGAAAATAGAAAGAGAAAAACTTGAGAAACTAAAACGAAGGGAACGCTCGAGAGAAGCAGCTAAAAGACTTAGAATAAATACACTTAATAAATTAAAAGAAACTAATTTGTTAAGAGAAGAAGAACGGAAGAAAGAAGCGTTGATATTAAAAGAACTAGCAAAGAAGAAAGAAAATAAAAAAATGATGGAGAAGGCGAAACTTGAAGAGGAAAATATCAAATTAGAAGAAATACAACGTCTACAACAATTGAAATTGCAAAAATTAAATACAATAAAACAAAAGGTTAATGTTGAAAAAGATAAGCAAGGACTTTGCAACGAAAACTCAAATGCAGCAGAAAAATGTACTAAGAATCTTAACGATTGTGAGGTAATTATAAATTATTTGTTGTCAACCCAATAGCTTTTTAAATTTTTGTTCTTGATTATTTAAATTTAAATTGTTTATAAAAATGTACTACACATAAAATAATATTTTTAAAATTAACAATGAAATTTGTATTCCGTATTTTATTTACATTGATGAGTCTTAAACTAAAAAAAAAACAACAGATAAATGAAATAATATCTTTTTAGTATCAATTATTATAAATAGTTTTAATACTTTGTTTCTAAATTTTATTAAAATGTCGACTTTTTTTGTTTTTATTTTATTAATCTTACAATTAATTTTTTCTTTATACTAAACTCAATAATTGAGACTTATAGTAATTTGAATATATTCATTTAATTAGAAAAATTAGAGCAATAAAAGAAAGAAATGATTATTAAAAAATTATTCTGAAAATATTAATTATGTCAACAAAAGAAATCGATAATTTTACTAAGACGTTTTATTTAAATTTTTCAATAATTCTGTTACTAATACAATTTAAATTGTACTTAATGCACCTGATATGTTGTACCGTATTCTATACGACTAACAGGTATTGTCTTTATTATTTTTTATGATATTTTTACTGTACATTATTTTAATTAGAATCCATCAAGGTGTGTTCAGGACCATGCACTCATTGAGCGGTGGGTACTTCGAAACGATGATGGTATTAGTGCCATGTCATGGTTACGTCTTGTCACTCATCGTACCAATTGTTTGAAAGGTCATGTGCATAAGCAACTGAGGGATGAATGGTTACGTATAGCTATTGACACAGTTGTTGATTGTATGGTAAAAAAAAAATGTTTACCTTGCAATAAAAAACATGATTTTACTGAAAATATATGTGAAAAACGGGATTTTACCGAAAAAAAATGCAATAAGCAAGATGACGAAAAAATATGTAAAAAGAAAATATGTCAGGTAATTTATTTTGAAATCAACTGTTAGAGTTGAATTATTTTGATATTATTTTAACCTATTAAATATTTAATTGAAATCTGTTTTGACATGAAATAAATGACACTAATTATTTCACCATTTAATGTCCCCGAAGCTTTCTCTTTTTATTAATTTAATCCTTTGCTTCTGTGTTTTACAACTTAAAAAGTAATGGTTATGCTGCTGAGATGATAATATTTTATTATGTAGAGACGTTCTCAGGGTTTCTTCTTAGGGCCTCCTTTCAAAATGTTCACATAAGACTTTTTTTTACTATTTCTTCCAAAGTATATCGTTACTATAATTTGGTAATAATATATTTTTTAAATCCCTTATAATGAAATATGATATACTTATTTTCGTCATGCAAGGTTTTATCTCCCATATCCCCTTCCTGTAAAAATGGCCAAGTAATTATGTCCTACGTGTTTATTATATTATATGATTATCATTATCTGCATTTATTAGTATTATTATAATAAATAATCAATATATTAATTTAATTAATTTATTAATAAATTGTTCATGTTAAAATTAGGTATCTTCAATTTGTAACCACTCAAAGCCATTTAATGTTCATGCACCCATAACTGTCAATATTGGTAAATCTGCCAAATGTATAGATATTCCTGGTTCTGCGTATTATACAGCGGTAAAAAAGGAAGGAAATTATTATCAAGTTATGAACGTTAATTTTATGGCTAAAATTTCCAAGCATGAAACAGGTACACACAGTGTGACTTGTGTTGGTCAAGTTAAAAGCAATAATAAACATAATTTGGACATCTCAATTCTGTACAAGTGTTTACTAAACAGTATAAATCACGTCTTTGGATAAAAATTAAATATAACTGTTGATAATATTCAAAAAATATCTGGTTTTTATGTAACAAATAAATTTGCAGGCGAAATTTATTTGAAAATTTAAAACTTAGAATGAAATTATCAATAATAGATATTGATTTAACGCAATAATTTCTCTATAATTTTATGTTTTAAACTTAAATTAAGTTATTAAATAATTGTTTTACAAAAGAAAAATAAATTATTATTTTTAAATTAAATAAATAATAAAACTTCCATCGTAATAGTGTTAGTTCTGTGACAATTTCTAATTGGAGAGAATCCATTATATGTTTTTGTTCTTTAAAACATTTGTAATTACGATTCTGTGACAGTCTGTTTTATCTGATAGTGATTTCTTTGTGTACACAATACTGAATACACTAACAGGACACCTAATAATGATCAGTCGTTTGTATACATTCGTTCGAAGCATTCAATATAATCTTATATGACATCAGATTACTTGTTTGTTATAATCACACATTTGTATAAAATCTATGGGCATACAAAGTCAAGACAATAAGGTTTGAATAGTTACAATAAAGTTATTTCCTTTTGCACAACACTAACAAATTAATTATAATGTTATTTTAGGCGTTTAAACATTTTTCTGAGCTCAAAATTAATTTAATTATATTTGGATTATGTGACAGACATAGTAATCGCATGAATAATTTTTAATGAAATTTGTCATGACACGTTTGTGTCTCAGTTTACTACGATATTGATACTGGATTTATTTATTGATTGAAATATATTTTTTCTTAAAAAAAATATATGTATTTAATTAATTTAATTAAATAAAGTATTATAAGCAGTGGTTGGTAGTAGCACACTACACGTAAGATTAATTTTCTGTTACCGTCCCTTATATTCTTAAATCGTATCAACTTTGAATTTTTAAACGGCAACCTCAATATATTTTCATATCATTAGGTTGATTCAATTAAAAATTTATATAATTTATTTTCAACGAGTATCGATCATTTAAAATTGAGGAGTGATAGAATAAAAGTATTACTTATTTAAGAATAAACTGTCATGTATATCAATAAACACTACGGGTTAATATATATTTTTATTCGCTTTTTTTGGTCCATTAAGGGCCATAGCGGCCTCTCCAAAAGCAGGAGGTTTCTTAACTATTAATACTCTTGGACGGGTAGTTAGTCCGTTAGAGAGAAAAGTGGGAACTCCAATTACCGATCTGATATCTAGTTCGCCAAATGAAGCCGTTACCGAGTTTCGAACCTGAGGCAGTGCGCTTAAAGCACTATTTAAGTTCTTAATAACTTGTGTAATCGATGATGCACTTATAGTAATGCTTATTTTTTGTATTATTAGATTGTACATAATATTAATGTAGTCAATATCTAATCTTTGTAAATTAATAATAATAATTAAGAAACTGTACAATTCAGTTTTAAATTATACTATTTATACTAGTAAATATGGTAAAAGACATGAAAAGTTGTTAAATCCTTTTGTTTCGCTTTTGGACACAGGATTTTCTCAAAGTTATGATAAGGAAACGAAGTGTTAAAGATTTTCTTCAGGTTTTTAATGAAAAAATATTTTGTCAACTTAATTAGGTTTACATTGACGGGAGTCTTTTATATTTGCGCTATAATTATCAACATTGTTCAAATGTGAGTCAAATATAAGTTTAATTTAAAGAACATCTGTGAAAATAAACATTTTTTTTTTATTTGCAAGAATATTTTTAAATATCTAAATATAAAGTAAATCATTTTTGTTAACTAAAAAGACTGAACTCGCTATTTAAATTAAATAACATGATAAAATTTTGATGCGTTTATAATATAAACCAAAAATAAATATAAAATATACCGATA